TCCCTTTTTTGTGGAGACAAGCGAGGAAAGGTTTGGTTTTCGGATCAAGTTTCTGTGATAATGGTTGATGTTGCTGACAAATTGGGTTACTTCCAAGCGATTACAGGTCTTGAAGATCCCGATTTGTGCACTGAGATCCTTCAAGCTCATGGTTGGGACCTCGAACTCGCAATCTCCTCCTTCACATCTTCTGACCCACGCGATGATCATCATCATGCTTCATCTTCTGCCCCCGGCGGTGGCGGTGGCGGTGACGGTGGCGATCGCTCTGCCGTCTTTACTGATTCCACGGCTCGCGAATTGAACGATTACCCTTCTCGTGGAATCGATACAGAGCTTGTTATGCGTGATGATGGAAGTGGTAGACCTCCGGGAATTGCTTGGAGGATTATCACTTTGCCCATTTCGATTGTTTCTGGTAGTTTAGGGTTAGTCTCTGGCGCGATCGGGTTTGGATTCTGGGCTGCTGGTGGAGTTCTCTCGTATTCGCTTGGTATGTTAGGGTTTGGATCAGGTCGAGGTGGTTCTGAATCATCTGCTAGGCTTGTATCTGTTTCTTCGGCTGCTGGTGAAGCAATGGAATTCGTTGCCTTGTTCGATAGAGATTATGGGAGTAGCAATGCCTTCAAGCCTGATTTTGTTTCGGAAGGATTCATGGATGCGCTACAGCGATCTAGAAGCTCGTTTAAGCTCTTGTTCGTTTACTTGCATTCTCCAGATCATCCGGATACACCTGTGTTTTGCGAGAGGACGCTCTGCAACGAAGCGTTTGCAGCGTTTGTGAACGAGAATTTCGTTTGCTGGGGAGGTAGCATTCGAGCTAGTGAAGGATTTAAGATGAGTAATAGCTTGAAGGCATCGAGGTTTCCGTTTTGCGCTGTGGTTATGCCAGCTGCTAATCAGAGAATTGCTCTTCTTCAGCAGGTAAAGAAATAGTCATTGATTATATGGCCATTGTTGGATTGCCTACTCTTCATTGATTAGCTTATAATCGAAGAGGCAATTTATCAACTTTAGGTAGACTTGGACCTTGGTTATGAATATGGTAACTTGATTAGTACTTCTCTTTAGGTGCTAGAGGTTTCCGTATTGCGCTGTGGTTTTTGCATAAAAGAATCCATTTTACTATCTTGTTGAAGTGATTAGTAGTAAAGGAGGTAGACATGACATGCCTTACATTTAGTTGTCAAGTCCTCTTACGCTTCTATGAGTTGAGTTGTGTGTGGTGTTGCAAGAGACGTTGTTCTTAAGTCCATCCTGTTCTGGTTGCTTGTGGCAGGTGGAGGGACCAAAAACTCCAGAAGAAATGATTGCTATACTGCAGAGAGTGGTAGAAGATAGTTCACCTGTTCTTGTAACTGCTAGGGTTGAGGCAGAGGAAAGAAGAAACAATCTGCGTCTGAGAGAGGAACAAGATGCTGCTTACAGGGCTGCTCTTGAAGCCGATCAAGTATGTCTCCCTTTTTGTTTAGGTTGAATTTACAGGATCCGTATGATTAGTCTGTTGATTAAATATTTGGCATCTTTTCTGTTGATAAGGCAAGGGAGCGACAGAGACGTGAAGAGGAAGAGCGTTTAGAGAGGGAAGCTGCTGAGGCAGAGAGGAACCGCAAGGAGGAAGAAGAGGCTCGGGAGAGAGCAGAGCGTGAAGCTGCAGAGAGAGAAGCTGCTAGAGTGAGAATGAGACAAGAGAAAGCACTTGCTCTTGGCGATGAACCTGAGAAAGGCCCTGATATTACACAAGTAAGTTCTCCTTCTTCCTTGGCCATTCATTACTTATTCTTTGCACATAAAAGTTCTCTGTAGCTCTCGCTATTACTTAGTATAAGCAAAGAACATCAAATTTATTTCCACCTTTTTGGTTTTCAAAACTTTGTGGAAAGCTTAGTGTCTCTTTAGAGATTAGGTTCTATGGTTGGAATCTCATTGATCCAACGTCTGAGATCTGTGTTCTGTTGACTTGTGACTATGAAAATATCTGGCAACAGTCTGATTGATGGTATCCATGGACCGTATATTTGCCCTGAAATTTAGGTTTTGGTACGGTTCCCGAATGGAGAAAGAAAAGGGCGGAGGTTTGAAAGCAAAACCACCATACAGACGTTGTACGACTACGTTGATTCACTTGGCGTATTGGAAACAGAAGAGTACAGCTTAATAACAAACTTCCCAAGGACAGTGTACGGAAGAGACAAAGCGTCAATGTCACTGAAAGACGCAGGCTTGCATCCTCAGGCAAGTCTCTTCATTGAGATTAACTGAATTTCAGATTCTTCTCTTTCCCCCTCTCTTTTCTTCAGGTTATTTCATCTCTCTTTTAAAATAATTAGTTTGTTGCTTCAGTGATCTGATAGACGAGATTACATATATACACATATATTCAGAAGTTGTGTCACATATTGATATATTTATGTCTTAAAATTATGAGGTTTCGGAATTGTGTGGTCTTTTCTTGTGTTATCATCAGGTTAAATTCCAAATTTTACGGTAGGATAAGTGGTACTCAATCACATCAATTCATACATACTGTTATGGTAAAGATTAGCTCTAGTTTACGGTCAGATGAATGAACCGCCGGGAGCTTGCAAAACATATTTAGGTGTTGGTAACTATAGACTACCGTGTATTGGCCACAAACATGTAGGATTCAATCAAGCTCTCTACATAGCTAGTCTTTTTAGAACCCGGGTCAAAGGCTTTAACTTCATGTGATGGAATAGCTAGGATGATAACCTGATATCTAAGAGGATCGAGCCCGGGTCATGGGAGGTAGGATGATAACCTGATCCCTAAGAGAATCAACCATAGTTTCACATGCAGAGTTTCAAGATTTATATTGAGAATAATAGACTTACATACCGAACATGTTAAGCAATAAGCACAAGCGAAAACAATAACCTCGAAGAGAAAGTAAAGTGCTTGGCATGCACCACTTCTCTGTTTATTTAGAGAAGACAAGAAATACAAAAGTACTAACACAGAAACCAATTTCCTTTTGTCCATGAACATTCAAATCATTATATTTAAATTCCGATTCTCAATGATCACTTCTAGTAGGAGTCTTCCCTTTCTTTTCCCTTGAACCTCTGGCGGGTGCCTTCATCGAAGGTTTCTCCATATTGCCTGAGATGTCAAGATGAACTCCTGGGTCATTAGTCTCGTATTTGGCTCCTATCATTATCGAATTGTTCACAGCTTGAAAGTTGCTATTAACAAAGGTCTTGAAGAAATCGAGCTCATGGTCGCCGTTAATGTCGTTGTCTCCATGATTGTTGTCGAGCTCGGTCTTCATGATTGCTCCTAGGTTCGTTCCAGAAAGTGTGATGACTCTGACGCCATCTTCCCCCTTCTCCTCTTCTTCATATTGGCTAGGTCCTCCTTTCTCTGCTCCCATGTGGGTTAACGACGAGATCATGTTTTTAAGCTCGTGGTCGAAATATTTTCGTCTGTGCTTCTCTGCTTCTCCTCTTGACTCGCTTAGCTTCATTCTTTATAATGTTTTCAACACAGAACTAACACAAGAAGAAAAAGAAGGGGAGGGAAAGCAAGCAATGCAAACATACACCTCTAAATGGAAGACATATATATAGATTAGCTACATGGTTTATATCTTGTGGGAATAAAAGATGAAGCCATTGCCTTGTGTTGCTGATTAAAGAATTGGAATGACTTTCGAGTGAGTTAAAGAATATCTTTTGCCATTCTTTGAACATTTTCTTTATATAAAAGTTAATTTTGCTCATAAAAGTTATATGTAAATCACACTACTACTTTAGTCTATGCAAAGAACATCAACCCATTTCACCTTTATTGGTATACATTCCAAACTTGTGTGAGGGATATCAAACTTATTATTGTATCTTTAGAGATTAGGTTCTATATAAGGTTTGATTGTCATCGATCACACATCTGAAATTACGTTGGGAATATGAGAATATCTGAAATGTATATTTTGGGCAGAGCCGGATGCCGGATCTGAGCAGAGTGTTTTGAAACATTTGAATAGGGTCCATTTTAAAGAGCTCCACTTATTTAAAAAAAAATTATATATATATTAGTTTGTTTAAAATACGTTATTTAATAGATAAAAATGAAGATTTAGTGAAATAAGAAACCATTTTTTTGTATGGAATCTAGTATTTTATGAAGTTGAATGATTAAAAGGTAAAAAATTTAATTATTTTTTTTTCATAATTTTATATCACATAAGAAAAATGAATTTATTGTTGTTAAAAATCACTTTTAAAAAAAAAATTATTTATATTACATGTCAGTAATTTCTTTTTTGTATAGGGCCCCGAAAATCTCAGATCCGGCTCTGATTTTGGGACGTCCTCGAATGGAGAAAGAAAAAAGAGGAACCAAGATTAAGAAATTGTACAACATCCCCGGTTTAAAATCTTATATACCAATAAGCCATCACTGTGATTGGCTTTATCGAGCCCTCTAATGGCTCATTGTATACATCGACTTAGAATTTATACCTAGGTCATGATGTATGTTAGTTGTAATATTTATATAAGGTATTTGACCTCACAACTTGATCAATAAGAAAATACTCTACAACTACTAAGGTTTCTTGACATGGCTTATTGCTTTGTCACAACAAGACCCTTTTTTTTAGGTAAAATTTGTTTTTTTTAATATGTCATTAGGGTCCAAAATTTTTTGTTTTTGTTCTGGGCCTTCCCAAAATTTGGACCGGAACCAAACTATACAAGATTGCATCTATATTATGAAGGGAGAAAGGTCCAAGAAGATTAAATTATGGCTGATCAGTTTTGTCGATCTGTTTATATTTCTAGTTTGATCAACAACAAGAATTTAGAAGTTTAATTTTATTTTATTGTGGCTTTCTGGTTTTGGTTATTCACTAGCAATTTAAGGAGAGTATTGATGTGTAACTTAAGTGTTTTAAAAAGTCGATAAAAATCTTGTGATATAGGAAAATGAGTTTAAATTACTTGTTAAAATCTTGTATTATCCGTTTAATTTATTCAATATTGAATTTTTGATTAGTTATAAATACTAGCAATTCAATAGTTTTAATCCTCAAACTTTGGTTTAGGAGCAAGAATTGTTGCTCTCTCATTCTTGTTCGACGTGGTCTTTTTTACAACACCTGTTGTGATTGGTAACGCTTATTTTTAACAATATATCTTTTTCACTCCATTAATTTTTTGTTGCATTAAGTATCTTTATCTTCCAACTATTAAGGCTTGTGGGAGAATATCACGTATAACATATACAATTTTTTTATTTTTATTTTTGTTAAATAGTAAGTATTCGTTTATTATGAAAAGG